AAGTTTAATAACTTAAAAGTATACACTCTTAAGAAACCAAATAAAAATAAAATTAACAACAAATCTTGGACCTCTGAGCAGTTTGGTGGGGCTGGTGTACTCTCAGACACATTCAAATTTACAGATGCCTTTACCAGTACAAACTTGTTGAAGATGCATGGGAATTTTTTGGAGAAAATCATAGAAATGCAGGAATATTTTTTTCCTTTGGGTTTTCAAACTCTAAACAAACTGTGATCATCTATAACAGAAGAAACCCTGCCCATTGTCCACAGACCAGAATTAAATATAGAAACACCTTATACTTACTGGTTTAGGCTGGGGCGCAGTACTGACTGAAAAGAAAAAAAAACAAAGTAAGAATCCTGGCACTCAGCAGGCAGTATAAACTAAGGCTCATAGACATCCTATCAGAGTGAAAACTCTTTCTCGTACAGTTTAAATACTGTAGAGACAACTACTTAAGCAACTTTGGTAGAAGCAACATTATTTTTCTTTAAATAAAATTACAAAAGTTGACAACTTTAAAATAAGTTTAAATAAATTCATCTTCAGATAGCATCAATATAAGCAAAACAAAGTCCTCATTTCTGGTTTCCACTATTAATGCTGCTAAAATCTCATCACTAGGTACTCCTTAAAATAAAATGATAGGCAATAACCCCCTGCTTAATTCTCACCTAGGACTCTCATTTTTAAGTGTACAGTTTAGTATTAGTAAATATAGTCACACTGTTGTGTTATATTTCTAGAACTTTGTCATTTTGCAAAAATGAAACTATGTCATCGAAAACTCCCCATTTCTCACTTCAGTTCTCCTTTTTAAAGGAAGCCTATGATAACTGATACTTCAACTTATGGATCAGGAAAGTTCCTCAAATATAATTAAACTACTAAAATTAAAATGTTTCTCAAATGGAAAAAAGAATCATCATAATCATAGTAGCTAATATTTACTTAGTACATAATACTGTGTGGCACACTACGAACTGATTTAACATGATATTTAATCCCAATAACTCCTGCATGAGTAAAAATGAAGTCAAGCGATTTGCCCAAGGTCACCCAGCCAACAATGAAGCCAGGATTCCAACTCAGTATGTCTACTCCAGTGCTTAAACTCAATCTCTAAATAGCAATATTATCTTGCCCCCCTGCCAGATCACTGACCTATAAATGAGCATGTATAATTATGGTAAAAGGTAAACACGTCAAAAATGGCCATCAAATCACAAGAAAAAACATTTTAAAACAATGTGAACCAGCTTTTATATATACAGCTGACTCTTGAACAATACAGGTTTGAACCGTGTGGGTCCATTTACTTGAGGATTCTTTTTAATAAATACTATAAATGTACTTTCCTTATGATTTTCTTAATATTTTCTTTTCTCTGGCTTACTTTATTATAAGAATATAGTACACAACACATAACTTACAAAATATATGTTAATCAACTGTTTATGTTATCAGGCTATCTGTGTTTTAAGTTTTTGGGGAGTCAGCAGGCTGAAACCAATAAAGACTGATAACATTCCTGAATGTATGTTGAAACTTTGAACTAACCACCAGAAGGCTATTTTTGAGAGAATAGCTGAATAGCTGACCACCAGGCACCATCACATCTTGCTTATACATGATTTTCCTGTACTGTTGCCCACAACCAATTCTATAAAGCAAACATTTCTTTCTTATGGACTATGCGCCTATGCCAGAACTAGCCCCACTTCCTCTTCTCTTATCCCCTTTTTCTATAGCCAATGTAAATTCTTTGAAAACAACTTTCATCTTTCCTCTGTAAACTGCATCAAAAAGCCTTGTCAATCCCAGGACGGTGGACATGTGTCTTCTCCATCTAGTCCTGCTGATGGTGGTTTAGAGTGAATACCCCAGGACCTGGTCCTTTTTCTGGCTAACATGTGGCTCAATAAACCCTTCCTTTTAGAAAACCTTTCAGCCATGAAAATTTTTGGTTAACAAAGTGAATTTTTGAATGTGTGGGAAGGGGCGGGGGAAGTGGGGGAAGCAGTCAGTGAGCCTAACCCCTGCATTGTTCATGATCAACCATACAACATATCTGCACCTAAAAGGCATATTCTTTAGTCTTCTCCTTCCAATTTGGAACCAAGACTGAACCAATACTTTTGAAGGCTGGGACTATTTCTTATACATAAGTACTTACTGTATCTTATTGTTAAATGAATGAGTGGTATTTTATTCAACTATCTGGTAGTAGAATAAAATAGAAACTTCTCTTAACTTCTAATGCCAGCAAAGTTCCCAAAGAAAATAGACCTGCAGATCCGGAAGGTGGAGGAGCTCCAGATCGCTGCCATTCTGTTGCTTCTGCAGCCAGCCTCCGGATGTACTGCTCGTTCACTGACAACAAGATGTTTTCTGGTTTAATATCAGTGTGGATGATGCGGCACTTGCTGTGTAAATAATCCAGGCCCTGTAACACCTGAATGGGAATAGAGTAGTAGACTCGCAAACACAGAATAGAAGTCTTTCTGGAGAAGGAAGAAATGGTTAACATGCCCTTTAAGTGCTGAAATGTAGGTAAGAGATTTAGATATCTTTTAATTTAAATTTCCTTGTTGCTAAAGAAGTGAGTCGCTTGCTTCCCAGTTTGGAGCTCTTTTCATCAAAACACATATCCAAACAAATTATTTGCCCTTATTAATACTAAAATATTAATATTTTCCTGATGGTAAACTTCTTTATTGAACACTGAAAGCTATTTAGAATATCAGAAAATGGCCATGAATAACGTTATGTATAAAGATGATGGTAATTTGACACAGCAATTCTCTATTAATATAGGATCGATATTCGCAACCAGAACTTCAGGATAGGGCTCCAAATTTCCAAAATCAGGCACTGCACACAGCTTCCCCACTAATAATTATTATAGGAGATGAACCTGGGGAAAAATGATTATGCTAAAACATTTAAAAACAGAATAAACACAATAAATTGTAGGGGCCAAATAAAACAATTTTAGCAATTAAAAAACCCGAGTTTTAAAAATAAAGGTTCTATGAGAAGTAGGAAAACTCCTGACACTTAAAGAATATTTAAAAAATCAACATATAGAAAGTACTAAGATACATACTTGCTGAATAATTTTTTTGACACAAGGCAGTGGAAGCCCCTGATAATTAGACTTGATGATCCACTTAAGCAGATGATGCCCCAAAACTTCAAACACCATGCAGATATCTAGAAGTGTGTTAAGGAGTTAAAGGGAGACAAGATGTGTTCCATCCCAATAAAATTGCTATTGTCTTATTTTTTCAGTATATAAAGTTATAGAGCTTGTCTAGAAATATATCTAGCTGTCAACATTCTGTAATTCCAAAGGTTAATTCTTTAGTCACTGAAAACACCCAAGAAATGGAAAATTCTGGGCTGCTGGTTTGTTAATAAAACTATGCACATTAAAACATTTAGTGGTAAAAAAAAAAAAAACAAAACAAGAGAAACATGTACATGAATTAGTGAAAGCACTAGGATTAAGTTGTTTATTAGACTCTCCCCTGATATCAAAACTAATGTCCAGCGTAACAACTTCTACTCCCAGTCTCAAAGCAAGGAAAATTTATTATGCTCTGATTAGAGAAGACGATGTACCAATACTCAAACCTAAAAATGTAAATGCTAACATTTTTAAAAAACAGGAAGCTGACCTGCTCTATGGTCTGTAGTTCACAAAACTAATTTTGATTCTGGTGCTACCACATGTTCTCTTTATGTGTAAACGTCCCAATCACA